TGGGGAATTCTGGGAGTTGAAGTCCACTCATCTTAAAGTGGCCAAGTTTGGAGAACACTGGTCTAAAGTCAAGATGGCAGCTGCGATGGTGCAATCAAAGCTCTGCCCCCTTTTTTGGTGAATCGTGTCCATGATGCACATTAAAAAGGGTAGAGCTTCGATCACACCATTGCAACTGACCTTTTGGACACACCCTGTGGCTGCTCCTGCCTGTAATTCTTATCAACAATTCTTAGCAGTAATTCTTATAAATAAAAATGAAGTTATCAGCTGACACTATCAGCTTTCCAGTTTTTTCTTTCAATTAAAGGGATATGCACACATATCTGTTCAGTTGTGTCCAATTTTCAGAGACTGCCTGGACAAGTCCCTGCAGTTTTCTTGGCAAGATTTCAGAAGCGGTTTGCCATTGCCTCCTTCCTAGGGCTAAGAGAAAGGGACTGGCCCAAGGTCACCCAGCTGGCTTTGTGCCCAAGGTGGGACTAGAACTCACCGTCTCCCGGTTTCTAGCCTGGTGCTGTAAGCACTACACCAAACTGGCTCTCTTTAATATATTAAATTAAATTATAATGCATAAAGATAATGCATAATACATTCTAAATTAAATTATATTTAATATATTAAATATATTAATTAATATGTATATTTTAAAAATCGAAGTCAGATGGAGCAGGAAAGGAACCTTCTGCCTATTTCTGCTCAAGTAGGAGCAAAGGGATACCTTCTTGCACCCCGCCAAAGCACATTTCCCACGCGCTCCTGGGCAAAGTGCGGTGATGTCTTTACAGCTCGTGCTTTCTTGAAACGGGCTCCTCACCACGAAACGCAGCAAGCCAGGGCTGCATTTTCTCCCTCTTTCTATCTAGCATGGCTGTGGTTCTCCCCAAATGGCTCCATGTGTGCTGAGCCACACTTAGGGCTTTTCACGGGATAAGCCCTCGATCTCATGCCACACGAAGGAAACGGATGGGGCTCAGATCTTGTGTCTCTAGATTACAAAGGCAGCTTTTGCATATATAAAAACATCGCTCCAGAGATCAGCTGTATTTAGATAAAGATAAAGGATCTTGCTCCGCAGGGGCCATCTTGGTATTCCTTCCTCTGTTCCGCTCAACCTACAAATGCAGAAACGTGACTGCAGCCCCTGTGCACTTCTTTCATTCAACTGTTTCCAAATACCCTTTTCATGCCTTTGGGAATTCAGGGCATCCCCAGATGGGAATGAAAAGATCAACGTCACAGCTACGACTGCATGACCGAGGCCCTCCCCTATTTATGTGCGTGGCATGGCTGCCACAGTTCCTTTGCAAACCCTCCTCCCTCTGCGGGCACTCCTGCAGGGAGCCCATTTGGGGTGATCTCCCAGTTGGGGCATCAACCCCAGAGTAGCAATGACTCTAGTTCTGACTTGGGAGTCTTTTTCCGTACTATAAACCCTTTTTAGAGTTTAGCAAACCAGCGGGCTATAAAGGAGCCTTTGACTGGAGCAGAGTTTTTGGTGGCTTTCATGTTTTTGCTGGAATAATCCTGGGACGGGCAAACTGATCCGTCCAGGAGAAAAATCAGTAGCAATCTTCCTCCCAGCATAATCTGGCTGCTTCTGAAACTGCAATGCAGAACAATGCTGCAAAGATTCTTTTTTGACAAATCTGAAATTAAAAATCAGCAGTAAAAGCATCACTGCACGCAAGTTAAGGCGCTTGGCGCTTCCCAGTTTGAAAGCAGAAAGGGACCTGTCTCTCAGCTGGGAAAAGCAAGGGTTGTCGGAAGGGAAGGCTTTGTGTTGGAAGGGAAATAGCAGCCAAAAAGACAGAGATCTGCCCTGTTACAATCAAGAAGTAAATCTAGGAGAGTTTAGGGAGAGTCCGAGTGAAACATCTTGGAACTGATGGGTGTATAAGCAGAAAATGGTATTTTGTGCGATGAAATTTTCCCACGTTTAAGCAAGCCAAATCAGGAGACTGTGCCTCCTAAGTTCAGGAGCAACTAATTCACGTGAGTAAGCAAAGAGAGAAATTGATTCACTGTGTACTTTTTGACATTTAATCGATGGGCCCTGGTCCTTCATTCGGTTCAACTGTGTCTTGTGTTTTTATTCTAGGGTTTGGATGTTAAAAGCAAATATAGCACTGACATTTGAGAGCACTGCCAATGCGGAGACATTTTCCCCAAATATGAGAGCCACGTCTCTATTCCATGGGATGAATTTCCCCACTGTGACCCTTCTCTGCCTCTCCAAAAGGCAGACCTTTGGGCTGTTAGCACTTTCTCTCCCATCCTTGCTAGATTTCAGGACAAAGTAGAAGAAGAAAACAGCAGAGGAATAGATTGGAAGTTCAAAGTAGTTTCTTCACCGTGTTGTACTGTCAGTCGAATAACGGGGGCCAGTTGTGGGGGAACCCTCTCTTAATTTGTCTGAAAGGGTCACACTCACAAGAAATGGAAAAGTGGAGAAAAGAGACATAAGGCTCATGAATTTAATCCAATGTATATTTGGCTATAAAAAATGCACAGACAAATTAGCCTGTTTCCAGTGAATGAGGCTTTTATTTTTTTTTTGGTTAACATCAGCTAGGCTCCTGGGTTTTTAAACTGGTTGCCAGTTATGCTTTGAAATCATTGTTCTCTCTAGTTGGGGATTGTTACGTGAAGTTGCACGGGTTGTGTAGAACAACATTGCAAGCTGATGGGTTGTGTGATGGCTTCCAGAGTTGGCTTCGTTCTGTT